AGGTGGAGGCAGGGAGGTTGTTTCCGCTAGCAGGTGAAACTAGGACTGGAGGGCATCGCCTCAAAATAAAGGGAAGCAGATGTAGGACTGAGGTCAGGAGGAACTTCTTCACCCAAAGGGTTATGAATCTGTGGAATTCCCTGCCCAGTGAAGCGGTTGAAGCTACTTCGCTGAATGTTTTTAAGGCAAGGCTAGATAAATTTTTGAACAGTAAAGGAATTACGGGTTATGGTGTGTGGGCGGGTAAGTGGAGCTGAGTCTCAAAAAGATCAGCCATGATCTTATTAAATGGCGGGGCAGGCTCGAGGGGCCAGATGGCCTACTCCTGCTCCTAGTTCTTATGTTCTAATGTATGTTCTCGTGTCCTCTAAACAGCTCCGTACAGTAAAGGGGGTTAAATTTATATGTGAGCAGGAAATTAAATATTCCTTTATGTCCGATGACATTGCTTTATGTGGTTAAAGCAGGTAAATTAATGCAACAAAGAGATAGCTGTGTGAAGAGTTTGTATGGGTGCAGGTAAACCTCAGGAACATTTTCACAATTTAGCTGGGTCACATTGCTTGAAAACTGATTGATGGATTTTTTCTGATTGACAGGTCACTCAGACTCTATCTCCTACACAATTTCCTCTGGAGATCCCAATGGTTACTTTGCAATTGGTGTTAGCTCGGGTTTGATCCGGACCAGCATTCCCTTGGACCATGAGTCTCATCCTGTTGTGATTTTGGATGTTCAGGCTAGCAGTGGTTCCCCTCCTGCCTATAGCAGTACGAAGGTCAAGATCACAATATCTGACATCAACGATAACACACCGACGTTCCCCACCTCTTCTGAGTCGATTCTGGTCCCAGAGAACACAGAGATTGGCTCTGTTATCTATACCGTACATGCAGACGATCAGGATAGCGGAGCCAATGGCCAGGTTCAGTTCGACATTGTTTCTAATGAAGACAGGACATTCAGCATTGACCGAACATCTGGGAAGCTACGCGTGATCGGATCTTTGAGCTATGAAACGCTTCCACGCTATGACCTGAAAATTGTGGCTAAAGACAGTGGGGCTCCACAGCTCAGCTCCACCTTCACGTTAATCATTCACATTCAGGACGAGAGTGATAATGCCCCAATCTTTGAGACGTTGACCTATAGGGTTGAAGTCAAAGAAGGGACGGCTGTTAACACTCGCTTTCTCCAGGTCCGGGCCCTGAGTCAGGACAGCAGAGACAGCCATATCACTTACCACCTGCGGACTGATGGTGACTCAGCCAATTTCGGAATCCTTTCTGAGAGTGGCTGGTTATATGTGAAAAGTGCCCTTGACCGTGAGAACAAAGACCTTTTCAGTCTGACTGTTGTGGCTTCGAGCAGTGAGGGTGACCAGAGGAAAACAGGAACTGCCATGGTGCGAGTCTGTATCACTGATGAGAATGACAATGCACCAAAGCTCAGTGAGGACCAATACTTTTTCACCATCCAGGAGAACATGCCACCTTCATCGCCCATTGGACGGATCCTAGCAACCGATCGTGACCATGGGATTAACAGCAAACTGACCTACAGACTGTTCCCAGCACATTCCAGCTTTCAGATCGACTCCCTCACCGGTAATTCTCTGGTCTCCCTTCTCTATGCTTCTCTGGTAATCCACGTAAACTCAAATTAACTTCTGAAACAAAAACAGAAGTTGCTGGAAAAGTTCAGCAGGTCTGGCAGCATCTGTGAAGAGAAATCAGAATTAACGTTTCAGATCAGCTGACCCTTCCTCAGAACTGACCCAAAATGTTAACTCTGACTTCTCGTCATAGATGCTGCCAGACCTGCTGAGCTTTTCCAGCAACTTCTGTTTTTGTTTCTGGTATAGAACCCCTGCAGTTCTTTCGGTTTTTATTCAAAGTAACATCTTCTTGGTTAATGTGTCATCAGCCCAGTACTGAACCCCAAGATACTGAGAGGTTTCTTTATTCATCCGTGGGATGTGGGCATTTATTACACAGCCCTCAATGCCCTCAAGCTGAGTGGATTCCTAGGCTATTTCAGAGGGCAGTTAAGAGTCAATCACGTTACTGTGGATCTGGAGTAGGACAGACCAGGTTATAGCAGCAGATTTCCTTCATTAAGGGACGTCAGTGAAGCAGACAGGAACTGAGAGGCAAACAGTCAGTTTAAATAACCCATACATTGGAGAGATAGAGAGAGATAGAGAGAGAGAGAGAGATCAGCTAGGGATCTTTCTCCCAATGACTATCCAGTTCTACTATCCCAGCTGATGTTATTTTTGGACAAGTCAGATCCCAAGCAGAAACCTGACTCAATAGATCATTGTTTGTTTTATGTGGTTTTAGCAAGGTGGTCTCCCACTCAAACATGAACATACAATGTTGCAGATTTGGCTTTAAGAATAAAACAGAGATTAATTACACAAAGAAACAAAGATAAAATAGAATAAACCAAATTATTTACATCTAACACATGTTTAAAGATTTCAAAACACACAATAAAAATACAATTCCACCAATCCAAACAGCATCGCATCCCAGTCCTCAGACACTATGGAAATTCCCATCTTTCTCTCAAATGGGGGTTGACGTAGCTGTGACTTCCTGATTGTGAGGTTCTGATAGCCTCTTCTCTGATTTGTGATTTTACTGAGCTTTAAATCTCTCCATTTTACATAAGCTCTTCAGGGCTTTAATCAAACACTTCTCATCCTAAACCCCTTACTCCAACAGGGCATACTTTTAACAATTTTTTTCCTATTTCTCAAGATATGGACTTCATTAACTAGGCTGGTATTTGTACACCATCCTTAATTCTAAACCATCTTCTCCCGTTCCAGGAGCAACTGATCAGTGATGGGGAATACAGGGTTTCAGAGATAGGCGGGGGGGGGATTGGGTCTGGGTGGGATGCTGTTTGGAAGTTCAATATAGATTCGATGGGCTGAATGGCCAGCTCCCACATTGGAGGGATTCTATGAATTGTCCATAAATGGCACTTAAAAAAAGCCTTTTTTTTCAAGACATGGGCATTTCTGTGAATCAAAAGAGACAAGTCAAAGGCTAGCCTTGTAAAGTGGAGCCTAATAAACAGCAGTTTAATTTGTTCACTGCGGAAACTCTCTGCAATGTGAAAAGACCTCAGTGCTTTCCACAAAGTCATTCTCTCACTATCCATTTTGAAAGGAATCATGATGGCTACAGAAATAATTACAAATTAATCATGAAACCCTTTTAGATACCATGAAAAGCCTACAGATCACATGATCAAAATCAAACAAGCAAACTCAAAAACAAACAATACAAAACAAAATCAAACTCCCCACATCACATGGTGATCTCTGGGTTACAGAGAGAGGAGCAATCAGCCAAGACTCCTGATCCCTGTCTAGTGATCCCTGGACTGAAGAGAAGGGGAAGTCAGGAAATAGTCTGGAAAGCACCGAACGTGGTTAAAATGGCATCTGTTCTACAGGTGCAAACGGACAGATATCAGTGCAATGTAGTATGTGACTCATTTCACTGCACTGGTGTATATTATTACAGAACCAATGAGATTAGAATAGTTAGCTGCTTGTTTTTGACCAGCACAGATTCAATGGGCTAAATGGCCTTTTTCTGTGATATAGACCTCCATGACTATGACTCTGGGTGCCAACATTGATACCAATTATTGCATCAGAATCTGTGCCCAGACTTATCCCAAATGCAGTCAGAGGCAGGTTATCAATGTCCAATGACTGTCCAAAGATTCTGGGTGAGAGAGAGATGGGAAATCAGTGAGGATTGGCTGGGTTACCATCAAAACTCTAACACCTGCAACCACCCACACCCCAAAGCCCCGCCATGAGCCGGCATGCCCCCCCCCCCACTCAATACCATCACAATGGATCAGACCGTGTCTCTGTTTCACTCTCCTGCTTCCACCACCCGCCTCACTATTGAATCCTGTACTTCCGTCAACCTGACATCCATCAAACTCAGATTTGAATGTATTCAAAGCTCCTGCCCACTGCTATCTCAGGAAAAGGATTCCAAAAACTCACAAAGCACTGAGTGAATGAATTCCTCAACAGCTTCAAACAGAGGCCCCTTTTTGTGGAAACTCATTAGCTCACACCCCGAGGGGAAACATGCGCTCACCAACTCCATTCGACTTGCTCAGATTGTGACATCTTCCAATAAGATGCAGAGAGTGGCGCAGTGACAATATCCCTGGGTTAGGCATCTAGAGGCTAATGTTCTGGGGACAGCGGTTCAAACATCACCAAGGCAGCTCAGGGAATTGCAATTCAACTAATGAGGAAGCAATGGCCTGCTGGTATTATCAATGCACTATTAATCCAAAAACTCAGCTACTGCTCTGGAGGCCTAGATTTGAGTACCATCAAGGCAGATGGTGGAATAATCTGGAATTAAGAATCTACTGCTGATCATGAAACCATTGTTGGGGAAAACCCATTTAGTTCATTCAGTTCTTCAGGGAAGGAAATCTGCCTGGTCTGGCCTACGTGTGACTCCAAACCCACAGCAATGTGGTTGACTCTCATCTGCCCTCAGAAATGGTTGAGCAAGCCACTCAGTTCAATGGCAACTAGGGATGGGCAATAAATGCTGTCCCAGCCAATGATGCCCACTTCCCACGAGTGAATAAGAAAAATTGGAGCATAGGAGGTTGAGGGGTGACCTTATAGAGGTTTCTCAAATCACGAGAGGCATAATTAAGGTAAATAGCAAAGGTCTTTTCCCTCATGTGGGGGAGTTCAAAACGAGGGGACATATTTTTAAGGTGAGTGGAGAAAGATTTAAAGTGGACCTGAGAAGCAACTTTTTCACAAAGGGTGGGGTTCATGTGGAATGAACTGCCAGAGGAAGTTTTTTTAATTCATTAACGGGATGAAGGCGTCGCTGACCACGCAGTATTTATTGCCCATCCCTAATTGCCCAGAGGGCAGTTCAGAGTCAACCACATTGCTGTGGGTCTGTGTAGGTCACATGTAGGCAAGACCAGGTAAGGATGGCAATTTCCTTCCCTAAAGGGCATTAGTGAATGTTGTTGAAGTTGCAGCCATCCAGGCAAGTGGATTCCATCACAGTCCTGCTCCTCCAGCTCCATACTGGGTTATCTCTGACTCCAGCATCTGCAGTGTTTACTATCTCTGACACTCCTGACCTGTGCCGTGTAGATGGTGGACAGGTTTTGGGGAGTCAGGAGGTGAGTTACTCGCTGCAGTATTCCTAGCCTCTGAGCTACTGCTGTAGCCACTGTGTTAATGTGGTGAGTCCAGTTGAGTTTTTGGTCAATGGTAACCCCCAGGATGTTGATTGAGGGAGATTCAGTGATGGTAACACCACTGAATGCCAAGTGGGATTGGGTAGATTGTCTCTTACTGGAGATGGTCATTGCCTGGCATTTGTGTGTACACAGGAGGTAGTAGGGATTGTAGGAAGTGAAAATGGTGTAGGATGATGCGTTGTATTCAGAAGTTGGTGGGATGGTATGTGAGGACAAGGGTGACTCTATCGTTATTGTTGTTGGGGTGAGAGGGTTTGAGGGCAGAGTGCAGGAACGTAGGAGATGCAATTGAGGGCATAAAGAATGACAGGAGAGGGGGAAATTAGTGTCCTTGAAATAGGAGGACATCTGGGATGTTCAGGAATGGAACGCTTCATCCCGGGAGCAGATGCAGCAGAGACGGGGGAACTGGGAGTATGGGATCGCATTTTTGTAAGAGGCTGAGTGAGAGGAGCTGTAGTCAACGTAACTGTGGGAATCAGTGGGTTTGAAATGGATGTCAGTGCTAAGTCAGATGCCAGAGATGGAGACAGAGAGGTCCAGGAAGGGAAGGGAGGCTTCAGAGATGGCCCAGGTGAATTTGAGGAACGGGTTAAAAGTATTAGTGAAGTGGATGAACTGTTTGAGGTCCTCTTGGAAGCATGAAGCGGCCACAATACCGCCATCAATGTAGCAGAGGAAGAGGTGGGGGGTGGTGCCACACTGAAAGTCGTCAGGATACAGTGCCACACACACTGACTCTCACTGGGGTACAGCCCCACACACACTTACACTCACTGGGGTACAGTCCCACACACACATTGACTCTCACTGGGGTACAGTCCCACACACTGACTCTCACTGGGGTACAGTCCCACACACACACTGACCCCCACTGGGGTACAGTCCCACATGCACTGACCCCCACTTGGGTACAGTCCCACATGCACTGAGTCTCACTGGGGTGCAGTCCCACACACACTGACTCTCACTGGGGTACTGTCCCACACACACTGACTCTCACTGGGGTACAGTCACACACACACTGACTCTCACTGGGGTATAGTCACACACACACTGACTCTGACTGGGGTACAGCCCCACACACACTGACTTTCACTGGGATACAGTCCCACACACACTGACTCTCACTGGGATACAGTCCCACACACACTGACTCTCACTGGTGTACAGTCCCACACACACATTGACTCTCACTGGGCACAGTCCCACAAAAAACTGACTCTCACCGAGGTACAGTCCTACACACACCGAATCTCACTGGAGTACAGTTCCACACACACTGACTCTCACTGGAGTACAGTCCCACACACACTGACTCTCACTGGGGTACCGTCCCACACACACTGACTCTTACTGGGGTACAGTCCCACACACACACTGAGTCTCACTGGGTTACAGTCCCACACACACTGACTCTCACTGGGGTACGAGCTCTCACACACACACTGAGTCTCACTGGGGTACAGTCCCACACACACTGACTCTCACTGGGGTACAGTGCCACACACACTGACTCTCATTGGGATAGAGTCCCACACACACAGACTCTCACAAAATGCACCAACCCATTCATTTCCTTTGACTGCTTTTGGTCCTTTTTATTGAGCTCCATTGCATCTTTGTGCTCAGCCTCACCAACTTATTTCAGAGAGAGTATTGAAGGCTGGTGCCAGTGGCATTCCTCTTCCCCTTCCCAGTCTGGGCACTGGATCTGGAACCTTGGAGTGTATGGATCAGTTGAGGATCACATTAATGGCAATCAGAGCACCATCTAACCATCACTGCTGATTGTGTGATTTCATTTGAATGCTTTCTCATTCTTTTTCCAGGTGAGATAAGCTCAAGGGTAACTTTTGATCGAGAGAGTCAGGCCAGTCACCAGGTAACTGTGCTGGTTCAAGATGGTGGGACCCCTCCTCGCAGCGTTACCGGTTCGGTCTACATCATGGTTTTAGACGAGAACGATAACTCACCCATCTTCACCAATGTGCCAATGGGAAAGGAGCTGGTTGTTCAGGTATGTACACAAGCCTCACTGAACATGGGTCACACATTGCTGAACCCCAGCTCACCCTCTTTAATTTTTGTAACACCTTCATATCACAGCACAGAGGCTGAGGAGCTCCGCAGTTTGGGGTTCAGGAGTGTGAAGATCCACAGTACCAGGGTTCAGGGGTATGGAATTTCCCAGTTTGGGAATGTAGGGGAGGAAGGAGTCCTCTTGGTCTGGGAGATGAGGGAGCTGATTATCAGATATGGTCAGTGCCCCGTTCACAGTGACACTGTCAGTACAGCCCGAATGCATAGAAAAGCAAACTTTGACTGTGAAAAGTTTGTGTCCACATTTTCTCATCTCCCTGATTCTTGGCAAAATTCAAGGAAAGTAAACAAACAGATTCTAACACACACAAGCTCACAATCCTATTTGTCCAGTGAGTTTGGACCAGCTGGGGCTCAGTAAACAACAGTCAGCCGCCAAGAATCCTTCTGTAGGTTTAAAATCTACAAACAGTGCACATAAACCAACCAATCTGGATGATCGATATTCACTCATGTGAGTTTTAAACAAAGGATATTGGAGATAAACAACATCCAATTGGTATTGTAGAATCTTATTTGCTTCCTTTTGTGAGCAATTATTTAAATCTCTCACTTCACCAGCTAATTATGTTAAATTAAATTTGATGTGGAGCCAGGGAGTCATATAGGTCAATGGCACAGAAAAAAATCTTTTGGCTCATCAAGGCTGGGCCAGTCAAAAACATGCACCTAACGATCCTGATCCCATTTCCCAACAGTTGGCCCGTAGCCCTGACTGCCTCGGCATCACAAATGTACAACTAAATACTTCTTCAATGTTCTGAGGGTTTCTGCCTCTCCCACCCTTACTGGCAGTGAGTTGCAGATTCCCACCACCCTCTGGGTGAAAAGATATTTCCTCCCACCTCTTGTAAACCTCCTGCCCCTTGACTTAGATCTATCCCCCTGGTCATCGATCCCTCCATCAAGGGGAAAAGATTCTTCCTGTTGTTATTTTAATCTCTTGTGGGATGTGGGTGTCATTGGTTAGGCCAGCATTTCTTGCCCATCCCTAGTTGCCCCCTTGAGAAGGTGGGGGTGAGCTGCCTTCTTGAACCGCTGCAGTCCATGTGCTGTGGGTTGACTCACAATGCCCTTAGGGAGGGAATTGCAGGATTTGGATGAGGTGACACTGAAGGAATGGTGATATATTTCCAAGTCAGAATAATGTTAGGCTCAAAGGGGAACTTGCAGGGGGTGGTGTTCCCATGTATCTGATGCCCTTGTCCTTCTAAATGGAAGTGGTCATGGGTTTGGAAGGTGCAGTCTGAGGATCTTTGGTGAATTTCTGCGTGCATCTTGTAGGTAGCACACACTGCTGCTACTGAGCATCAGTGGTGGAGGGAGTGGATGTTTGTGGATGTGGTGCCAATCAAGCGGGTGGCTTTATCCTGGATGGTGTCAAGTTTCTTGAGAGTTGTTTGGGGTTGGACCCATCCAGGCAAGTGGGGAGTATTCCATCACACTCCTGACTTGTGCCGTGTAGATGGTGGACAGGCTTTGAGGAGTCAGGAGGTGAGTTATTTGCTGTAGTATTCTTAGCTTCTGACCTTCTCTTGTAGCCACTGTATTTATGTGGTGAGTCCAGTTGAGTTTCTGGTCAATGGTAACGCCCAGGACATTGATAGTGGGGGATTCAGTGATGGTAACACTGTTGAATGTCAAGTGGCAGTGATGAGATTAACCTTAATCCCAACCCTAATCTACCCAGCCAGCCCATCCCTGGGCACTATGGGTAATTTAACATGGCCAATCCACCCTAACGTACACATCATTGGACTGTGGGAGGAAACTGGAGCACCCGGAGGAAACCCACGCAGACACGGGGAGAATGTGTAAACTCCACACAGACAGTCACCTGAGGGTAGGATCGAACCTGGGTCCCTGGCGCTGTGAGGCAGCAGTGCTAACCACTGAGCCACCGTGCTGCCGCTCCATGACTGACCTACAACAACCACAACCATCTTTCTATGTGTCAGATATGTGACCAACATTGCAGAGTTTACCCCAATGACTATTGATTCCAGTTTTGCTAGGGCTTTCTGATGTTACACCTTGACATCAAAGATCTGTCACTCTCACCTCACCTCTGGAATTCAGCTCTTTTGTCCATGTTTGAACCAAGGCTGTAATGAGGTCAGGAGCTGAGTGGCCCTGGTGGAACCCAAACTGGGCGTCACTGAGCAGGTTATTGCTGAGCAGGTGCTGCTTGATAGCGCTGTTACTGACACCTTCCATCAGTTTGCTAAATGTGTGTTGTGTGTTCCCCCACTCCAGGGTAATGCTGGGAAATCAAGTCCCACTATTCCTGGAGTTGTCACAAAAGTTATTAATTTTAAAAAATGCACAAGTATTTCCAAATTTACCACATTTTCAGACCAAGTGTGACAGACAGCATGGACCAGAATTACTATTTAATACTAATAAATAGACTTTACAGGGATATAATGAGCTGCCAGAGAAAGTGGTAGAGGCTGGTACAATTACAACATTTAAAAGGCATCTGGATGGGTAAATAAATAGGAAGGGTTTAGAGGGATATAGGCCAAATGCTGCAAATGGGACTAGATCAGTTTAAGATATCTGGTTAACATGGACATGTTGGGCAGAAGAGTCTGTTTCTGTGCTGTATGACTCTGTGACTCTATGAGGTAAACTGTTAGAACCATTGTCATATAACATCACTGGTTACAATTCTAATCACCCTATAAACACACTCTCTATGCTTACACATACTTGGAAAAACATACTACAATAAAATGAAAAACGGTTGCTGCTAAAGGTCTGAAACAAAACTAGAAATTGCTGGAGAAACTCAACAGGTCTGGCAGTATCTATGGAGAGAAAGCAGAGTTAATGTTACGAGTCTAGTGACTCTTCCTCAGAATGGTCAGTTAGTGTTAACTGTGCTTTGTCTCCACAGGTGCTGTCAGAATCTGCTGAGATTTTCCAGCAATTTGTGTTTTTATTTTAGAAAAACACCTGAGTATTCTAGATGGAGGGGATTAATTGGGAAAGCAGTTCATTGGTCTTCATACACAGGCTTTGCTGAGGTGATTCTTCTGCCAATCAGATACTGCAGGAGGCACAACATGACTGGTTCACACTTATATCAAAATGTCTCTGTTTTATCAAAGTTCCAGCAACTGCTCAAAACAAAATCACCAAGGCTCTGTCAGGCTTGTTGTGGCTTTTACTGCAGAGAACAGTGAGAGCTCCTGATGGTCTGAAGGTATCTCACTACCTGTTCCAATCGTCAAGCTGTTCAGCTAACTGGGAGCCAATCACATCAGTGTTGGCAGGCAGAAGGCCTTTGTTATCAATAACTGATCACTGGACCAGAGACCAATCAGCTATTTGTTTCTGGGTGTATTTCCATTTGTACAAACCTTTGGTTCCAGTTTATCTGCAGCTTCTCCTCCCACTGCTGGAACCAACAGCTGGCTAAGTAATGCTTACAATGAGTATTGGTAACTTATGTTCAAAAACTTGCAGGAATCCTTCAACAACACTTGGTTTTTAAAACAGTTCTTTTGCCATTTCAGTCTGTTATGAAGTTGGGTAGAGTATTCATGAATTGGAAGGCAGGAAGTTAGAATGGTTGGTAAAAAAAAAAAAAAATGATAGTTGGGAAAAAGGAGTACCTGGTCCCTTTAAGAGTTGTGCTTTGTCTGTGCTTGGAAGTTTACAAATACAGACAGTGGCTGAATTGAAACATTTTATATCGAACAGCCAAGCAGCATTTTTACCAAGACAACAAGTTTGATTTTGGCCAATAAATTTAAACCAAGCACTCAGCAATTCAAACCCAATTGAATTTGAAAATTAGGTGTTGACAACATTGCCCTGATCCTACATAAGAAATACAATTATGTCATTATGGGTATATAAGACGAGAGCATTTGGAAAATCAGGAAGAGCCAACTGTCATCTGAGGGGAGATCTGTGCAAACTTGGAGAGATTAAGTTTCAATTTATTGTTGTCTTATTAATTGGGTTTATATAAGTGGGACTTGTGATCATTTGAACAGTAGAATTTAGACCAGTTAGGGACTAGTAAGTAGTTTAGCGGGGAATTATTCAGTTTGTTAGTAATTCTGTTAATTTGTTCATTGTTAGGGGTAAATAAATAAATTGTTTCTTGTTATTTATGAAGTAGATCAGGGATTGTCTTTCTTTTAACCACTCTTTTAACAGATTATGAGGGGAAAGGTGAGCTTCTCTAGGTGGTTCAGTGGTAATTATTACAGGGGAATCTTTAATGCTGTCATTAACAGATTGGGGCTTGTGTTTTAGTTTAATTATCAGAGGGGTTCGGCTATTCCCCTCCATAACATTTCAACAATTAAAATACTGAAAAATAGAAAAAAAACATGTGACTATGACACTACACAAGTGACTGAGTGTAATACTGTTATGACTGACATTCCATGTGAGTGCGATATTCTTGTAACTTCATGTCCAGCAAGTTTGTTTTCTTGATAAAGCCTGAAGAATGCTCATCATCAACACAGTCTTTTCTCCCCTTCATGTCCAAACAGGTTATTGAAGGAAATCAATCAGGAAACCTGGTGACAACTTTACAGGCGAAGGATGCAGATGAGGGAGAGAATGGCACTGTGGTTTATTCTTTGGCAGGTAAGATTGGCTGAATGAAAACTGAGCAATGCAGAAGTCGGCAGGTCAGTGGTAGATGCAGTTTAACAGAAGAATGGATGAGGTTTGACTGTGAACCTAATGAAGAAGCTGAGGGAAGCTCAAGATGCAGATGGAGCAGTAGGTTTGAGAGGTGCGAGGTCAGAATCATTAAAATGTGGTGGACAGGTAGAAAAAGCGAATGAAAGGATGATGTAACATACGACTTTCAGGGCTGAATGAAAGTGAGATTGGTTGCATGGTCATTGCTTCAATGTGTAGACAAGTTCCCACACAGTGAGAGGGTTTCGCTGCTCCCCCTTTAGGATTGTACTCCCTATTTTATATTGCCTTTCAATGTTGTTCCAAACTTCTCTGCATCGAACTTCATCTGCCACCTACCCACCCACTCCACTGTTACGAAGTTGGGTAGAGTAATTGTGACGTGGAAGGCAGGAAGCTAAAATGTGAGGTTCCTTCAAGAGATTTGTCCTTTGTCTGCACTTAGAAATTTGAAAATAAAAATATCTGTCTGTGAGCAGCATCTAAAGTTGCCAGTACAGAGAGCCCCACAAAGTGAAATAAGTGTATCAAAAAAGCACCTTACGGGTGGCAGGTAAAACAGCTGTCTTGTTTAGATGTTGTGATGACAAGTTTGAATTCAGCCATTTCCCCATCGTAACACCATCCACTCCACCATCTTGTCAATATCACTTTGGAGTTTCATTCTGTCCTCCTCAAGTTTACAATTCTTCCAAGCTTAGTGTCATCTGAAAACATGGAAATTGTCCCCTGCACAGCAAGATCCTGATCATTAATAAATATCAGGTATTTCTCCTGTTAGTTGCGTTCTTGTGTGCCCTCACGCTATAGAAAATTGCCACAGAAAAATGCTTTATAGAGAAATCGCTATAGAAAGTCACTATACCTGTACAGCAGAAAGTTTGCGTTATCCAGACAGCATCCACTCTTCATCAATCATGTTACAGCCAATTCACGTGAACAAAACACGTGTTATAGCAGAACTACCTGTATCAGAAAAAAACAAAGATCCCAATATTGACCCATTGGGAACTCCATTACAAACCCTCCTCCATTGACCATTACACTCTGCTTCCTATCACTCCGCCAATTTTTTTAACCTATCTGTTACTGCCCAGATTGGTCCTGCATTGATGACAGTAATGCAGTGGATGTTGTCTAAATGGACGTTAGTCAGGCATTTGACAAGGTCCCGCACGATAGGCTGGTCAGGAAGATTAAAGCCTGCAGGATTCAGGGGAATGTGCGTGGGATTAAAAACTGGCTCAATGAAAGGGAACAGAAGCTCATGGTGGATGATGTGTTTGTAATGGAAAGCTGATTCTACTAATATTCCACAGGGCTCAGTGCTGGGTCCCTTGCTAGACTTCAGTGTGAGAGGGATTTGTTTGAAATTTGCAGACAAAACAAAAACTGACTGGATCATTAGTAATGAAGAGAATGATGATGTCAATGGTTTGATTGAAGGGTGGAAAAATGGCAAATGGAATTCAGTTCAGAGAATTGTGAGGTTATGCATTTGGGAAGGACAGACATGGCAAGGGAATACATGATAAACAGGAGTGTGCTGAGATGAGCAGAGGAAGTGAGAGACTTCTGAATCCATATCCCCAGTGCCCTGATGACGATAAGGATAAGTTCATAATGTGGTAAAGAAGGCACATGAGATGTTTGAATACAAGAGCAGGAGTGTAATGTTGGAACTAAATAAGACACTGGTTAGGCCACAGTTGGAGTTCTGTGTACAGTTCTGGTCACCACATTACAGGAAAAACTGAATTGGTCTGGACAGAGTCCAGAGGAGATTTACAAGAATGATGTCAGGGCTTCGACACTGTCGCTATGAGGAAAGGTTGGAGAGGCTCGGATTTTTTTCCTTAGAACAGAGAGGAATCTCAGGGTTGGCCTAATTGAGGTGTACAGTATAATGACCGGCTTGGAAAGAGTTAACAGAGAGGAAAACTATCAGTGGACACCAGTGATTGGTGGAAGAATTAGAGGGGACAAGAGGAAAGTCTTCTTTTCCCCAAGAGAATGGTGGGGGGGTGTCTGGAATTCGCTGCCTAATTTGGTGGTTGAGGAGAAACCTTCAACTCATTTAAAAGGAGCTTGGATCTGTCCCTGAGGAGCTGGAGCCTGTGATGGAGCTGGGCTGGAAAGTGAGAATGGGCAACTAATTTATTTAGCCAGCACAGACACAATGGGCTGAATATGCTCTGACTCACTTCTCTGGTTTCTATGGTTTTTTAATGTGAGGGTAAAACATGCCGAGATACAGAGAAACCATGATCCAATCAAATGGCATAACATCCTACAAGGTCTGAGTGACCTTTTCTGTTTCTTTGTTACCTGAAGGGGAATGGGATCTTCTTTCTGTCTGTTATGGAAAGCAAGCTTCTGATTCAATGTCATCAATCTCACTCCTATGTCATGTTCTCATGTCTCCCTCTCTGTCCCTTTCTAGGACCCTGGGCCCAGCTTTTCTCTCTTCACCCAACCTCTGGTGAACTGCGGACAAGCACAGCGCTGTACAGGCTCGAGAGACCTGAGTATGAGTTGACAGCCCTGGCCACTGACCGTGGACAACTGTCCCAGACCACATCCCTCGCAGTCCGTGTCCAGGTGAATACACTTTCCTCAGGTGGAGGGAAATTGAATTGTGAGGTGTTTCAGCATCTCAAATGTTCACTGTTGATGCATGAACTAGATGTTAGGTAGGAACTCACAGGTCATTCCACAAACAAGGCAAGCTTTTTTTTGTTCATTCACAGGATGTGGGCATTGCTGGCAAGACCAGCATTTGTTACCCATCTCTAATTGCCCAGAGGACAGTTATGATTCAGCCACATTGCTGTGCACATGCTTGACAATCGGCAATGAATTAATGGTCATCGTGAGACTTTTAATTCCAGATTTTTATTGAATTCAAATTCCACCATCTGCTGTGGCAGGATTCAACCCAGCTCCCCAGGACATCATCTGGATCTCTGGATTAACAGTCCAGATTCCAGCGATAATACAATTGCAATAAGACACCCCAGCTCCTGTACTCGAAACCTCTCGCAATGAAGTCCAACATACCATTTACTTTCTTTACCACCTGCTGCACGTGCATGCTTACCTTCAGCAACTGGTGCACAAGGACACCCAGGTCCCGCTGCACACTCCCCCTCTCCCAGTTTACAGCCATTCAGGTACTAATCTGTCTTCCTGCTTTTGTTCCCAATGTGAATAACCTCACATTTACCTCAGGAGTCAGGGGAAGAGTGTGGGGCACTGAGCTCAGGTCTAGAGGCAGAGTTAGGGAAGGGTCCTGTTTCTGTGATTTAGGTTCCTGCAGAAGAGGAACAGGCTCCTTTCCCAGGATCTCACTTCATTCCATGAGCACTTTGTCCTGTCAGATATTTATCCAGTTCCCCTGCATTGGTTGTCTCCTAACCCTGATGTGTTTCACCCTTTAGGTACTGAGCTCTGCCAACAGCCTACCTCAGTCTGGTAGCAACTCACTCACCTTCAGTTCCATCGAAGGGATGGCCCCAGGCTCTGTCATTGGTTCAGTGGCCTCCCAGGATGCATCGAGACGTGCCAATGGGCAGGTGACATACACCCTAGTGGGTGGAACAGATGTGGATGGGAGATTTGTTGTGGACAGATTCACAGGTGACATTTACTTGGCGCAGGAGCTGGATTATGAATTGGGCTCACATTACCAACTGGAGATTGCAATTGATGACCTGAGTACAGCTCTCCCCCATAGCACTCTCACTATCGTCGACATTAATATTGAGGATCGTAATGAGTACGCGCCACAGTTTGCTGAGGACCCCATCACTCTGGTCGTCAATGAGAATGCAGTAGTCGGTACCTCCATCTACACTTTCCAGGCAGTCGATAAAGATGGAAGTGGTCCCAACAGCCAGATCCTGTACACTCTCCTCCAACAAACTCCCCCTGGGAACGTGCTTCAAATTGATCCCATGACTGGAATACTATCAGCAGCAGCAATTGACCGGGAGACCACTCCATTCTTCCTGCTGGTGGTACAAGCCATGGACCAAACAGTGGAGAGCACCCAACGGAAATCCTCAGCTGTAACAGTTCGTGTCTTTGTAACCGATGAGAATGACAACGAGCCCCAGTTCCTGTCTCCATCAGTGCTCCAGGTCATGGAGGATCAGCCCATTGGCAATATCATCTCTTACATCGTCGCCCAGGATGCTGACCTGGGAGAGAACAGCCGACTCAGTTACCGGATCAAATCTGGATTGGGAGCTAACAAGTTACGACTCAATCCGACAACAGGTAAGCAGTTGGGGACCACCTTTTGGAGAGATCAACAATGATGCCTGATGCCCCTCCATTAATCCCTCAGAGACCTCCACCTTACCTCCAATTACACTATCATTTGCAGAATTGTCACGGGAAAATGCAATTCATCCATCATGTCCAACTGCCTGGCTGAGCATTTCATCTTATACCATTCCCCTGCCTTCTCCCCGTGACCTTCCACATTCCTTCTTAAAATAACTACCTCATTTAATTCGAAAGTCTGGAGTGAACCTGCCCTCCCCCACACTCTCAGACAGTAACATAGAAACATAGAAGATAGGAGCAGGTGGAGGCCATTCGGCCCTTCGAGCCTGCTCCGTCATTCATCACGATCATGGCTGATCATCCAACACAATAGCCTAATCCTGTTTTCTTCCCGTAACCTTTGATCCCATTCACTCCAAGTGCGATATCTAGTCACCTCTTGAATGCATTCAATATTTTGGCATCAACTACTTCCTGTGGTAATGAATTCCACAGGCTCACCACTCTTTAGGTGAAGAAATGTCTCCTCATCTCCATCCTAAATTGTCTACTCCAAATCCTCAGACTGTGACCCCTGGTTCTGGACACACCCACCATCGGGAACATCCCCCCTGCATCGATCTTGTCCAGTCCTGTTAGAATTTTATAAGTCTTAATGAGATACCCCCTCATTCGTCTGAATCCTAGTGAAGTCAACCTAATCTAGTCAATCTCTCCTCATATGTCAGTCTCACCATCCCTGGAATCAGCCTGATAAACCTTTGTTGCACTCCCTCGAGAGCAAGAGCATCCATCCTCGGAAAAGGAGGCCAAAACTGCACACAATATTCCAGGTGTGGCCTCACCAAGGCCCTGTATAACTGCAACAACACATCCCTGCTCCTCTTCTCAAAATCTCTCACAATGAAGGCCAACATACCACTTACCTTCTTTACCAATTACTGCACCTGCATGCTTACCTTCAGCAACTGGTGCACAAGGACACCCAGGTCCCACTGCACATGCCCCCTCTCCCAATTTACAGCCATTCAGGTACTAATCTGCCTCCTTGTTTTTGCTTCCAAAGTGAATAACCTCACATTTATCCAAATTATACTGCATCTGCCATTGATTTACCCAGTCACCCAACCTGTCCAGATCATGCTGAAGGATCTCTGCATTCTTATTACAGTTCACCCTCCCACCCGATCTGGTATCATCTGCAAACTTGGAAATGTTACATTTTGTTCCCCCATCCAAATCATTAATATATATTGTGAACAGCTCAAGTCTGTAACCAGTGGTGTTCCACAAGGATCAGTGGTGGGACCTCTGTTATTTGTAATAGATATAAATTATTTTGATGAAAATGTAGGTGGTCTGATTAGTAAGTTTGGAGATGATACGAAAATTGGTGGAGTTGTGGATAGTGAGGAAGGATATCAAAGGATGTAGCAGGATATAGATCAGCTGGAAAGATGGGAGGAGAAATAGCAGATGGAGCTTAATCCAGACAAATATGAAGGGATGCATTTCAGAAAGTCAAATGCAAAAGGAAGATATACAGTAAATGGCAGACCCCTTAGGAGCATTGACAGACATAGAAGCCCTGGGTGCAAGTCCATAGCTCCCTGAAACTGGCAACACAAGTGGATAAGGTGGGAAAGCTTTGATTCAATTGGACAAAAACCGAAGTTGCTGGAAAAGCTCAGCAGGTCTGGCAGTATCTGTGAAGAAAAAATCAGAGTTAACGTTTCTGTTCCAGTGATCCTTCCTCGGAACTTGATTTGGTTGGATTGGATTTGATTTATTTGGTTTATTTTTATTACAAAATACAGTCACAAGTGCTGTAGAGTGTCACCATTCTCCTGTGCTATCTTAAAACACAGAAAAATAAACCACAACAAAGAATATAAAGGCAGAAAAATGAAGAAGTAGAGAAAAAGTATTCAACTTTACGGTCTTTCTTGTTCAGAGCTCCACCATGGGCCATGGGCCTGGTGGCCAGGCACGCGTCTCTCAATTATGTCCTGATGTTGTTCACATGAGAAGCATTGCCTCACTTCCTTTTCCTGTTTGTTTCTCTTTCCTAAATGTAGAAAGTTTCGGATATACAGTTGCCAATCTCAGACACGTCTCTGACAATTTGCTCATACCCATTGACCTTAGTTCGTGCATTCCAGCCATCAGATTGGATATCAATGTGACGTGCATTCTGAGAGTCCCTTTAATTCAGCCTCTTGAACATTACTGCTTATTCTTCATTTTGATCCTGTTTGATCCTTGCTGATGCTTTGTCTGTCTTATATTTTTGTGTTCTACTTTTCTACTTTTTCTGCTTTTCTCGAATCTGATTTCCTTCTCTGCTCCTGATCCACTCGATCCACCTCATTCACAACAGCAAGGTCAGGTGGTGCCTCCTCTCTCACTCACCAGTGTCATCCTGCTGCAGAGGGCTAACTCACTGCTCTGCAGTCTAGTGCTATCTGCCCCCTATTTTGAGCACCTGATATTACTCCCTTCCTCTCTCTCTCCTTACTCCAGCACTTTCACTGAGTTAAGTTTCAACCCTCTCCAGCAGCACAAGCTGTTCTGAAAGGACCTCAGTCCCAGCTCTGTTCGGGTGTAACCCATCTGGCTTGTACAGGTGCCATCTTCCCTTCAGTTAGTCCCAGTCCCACAGGAACTGAAAGCCCTTGTTTCTGCACCTTCTTTCCAGCCACACATTCATCTGCCTTACCCTATTATTCCTGCACTTCCTGTACAGGGCACTGGGAGTGATCTAGAGATTACTGCATTTGAGGTCCTACTTGCTAACTTTCAACCTAGCTCCCCAAATTCTGACTGCAGGACCATATCCATCTTTCTGCCTTTATCATTGATACCCATGTGTACCACAACTTCCGCCTTGTTACCCTTTCCCTTCAGGATGCCCTGCTGCTGCTCAGTGACTTCCTGGACCCTTGCACCAGGAGGCAACACACCATCCTTGATTCTGTGGCTGCACAAACAGCTGTTTGTTCTCTTACTGTCAAATTGGTTGCCACTATGGCTCTTGCCATCTTCCTTGTGCACCCACCCCCATACAGCAAAGACCCCCTCCCCCCCCCCCATCGCTGGCTGGGCCAGCGGTTATCACCCATCCCTAGTTACCTCGAAAAGGTGGTAGTGAGCCTGTCTTCCTGAACTGCTGTAGTCCATGTGCTGTGGGTAGATTCCGAAACTGGGGCTCAAAGTGCAGTAAATGTTGCAGGTTCTGAATAAGTAGTTACCCTGGACATGGAAAATATTCACACATTTCACAGAATGGGAAGATTCACCCACAATTACTCCCATTAACTCACAGTCACACTGACATTCCCCCATTTGTCCCCATTCAACAATATCCCAGACATCAAATCGAAAGTTCCACTGACCCCTGACCCCTGACCTGCAGTGTCCCTGGGAGCAATGGGACTGGTCACTAACACTGTCCCCATCTGTCTAATTTCAGGGGCCTTGTCCATTGTGAAAGAGCTGGATTGTGAAGAGCAGAGTTGGATTAACCTGACGATTGAGGCCTCAGACCACGGAACATTCCGGCGCTCAGCCACCCAGCTGCTGCACATTCAGCTGATTGATGTCAACGATGAGGTGCCAACATTTGATAAGAAACTTTATGAAGCCAGTGTCCTGGAGAATCGAGTGGCTGGCACTCAGGTCATTCAGATACATGCCACTGACAGGGACCAAGGTAACCAACCAGTCATTGGACAGGTCAACAGTCAGGCTGGGCATGAGCGAGGGTCAGAGGGTCGAAGGTGACAGAGAGGGTGACGGAGAGGGTGACAGAGTAGGTGATGGAATGGGTGACGGAGAGTATGATGTAGAGACTGTACCAAGGCACAGTGAAAAGTATTGTTTTCTGTGCTAACCAGTCAAATTGTCCTTACATAAGGACATCAGGGGAATAGGACAGAATGCAGAATATAGTGTTCCAGCTGCAGAGAAGATGCAGAGAAAGATCAACTCTAATATAAGAGGTCTATTCAACAGTCTGATAACAGTGGGGAAGAAGGTGCTCTTGAATCTGTTGGCACGTGTTTTCAAATCTTTGTATCCTCTGCCTAGTGGAAGAGAGTATATAACTGGGGTGGGAGGGGTCTTTGATTATGTTGTTTGCTTTCTTGAGGGAGTGGGAAGTGTAGACTGAGTTGATGGAAGGAATGCTGGTTTGTCTGATGGACTGGGCTGTGTTCACAACTCTGTAATTTCTTGTGGTCTTGGGCAGAGCAGTTGCCATACCAAGCCGTGATGCATTCAGATAGGATGCTTTCTATGGTGCTTCTATAAAACTCGGTAAGAGTCTTCGCAGACATACTGAATTTCCTTAGCCTTCTGAGGAAGCAGAGGTGTTGGTGAGCTCTCTTGACCATAGTGTTGATGTGGTTGGAGCAGGACAGATTGTTGGTATATTTAGTCCTAGGAACTTGAGCTCTCTATCACCTCCAGCTCAGCACCACTGATACAGACAGGGGTGTATACTCCACTCTGCTTCCTGAATTCGATGGCCAGCTCCTTCATTTTACTGACATTGAGGGAGAGATTGTTGTCTTTACACCAGGCCACTAATCTGTCGATCTCTTTCCTGTACACTGTGTTGTCGTTGTTTGAGATTCAAACCACTACAGCGGTGTCACCAGCAAATTTATAAATGGAGTTAAAGCTGAATTTGGCTACACAGTTGTGAGTGTATAAGGAGTATAGTAAGGATTTGCATCCTTGTGGGGCACCAATGTTGAGGATTATCATGGAGGAGGTGTTGTGGCCTATCCTTAGTGATTGTGGTTCGCGAGTCAGGAAGTTGAGGATCCAGTTGCAGAGAGGGGAGCAGAATCCTAGGTGTCAAAGTTTGGAAAGTTTATTTGGAATTATGGTGTTGACACTGGAACTAAAATCAACAAATAGGAGTCTAACATAGGTGTCCTTGTTATCCAGATGTTCTAGGGATGAGTGTAGGACCTGGGAGATGGCATCTGCCATGAACCTATTACAGGGTAGGCGAATTGTGGTGGATCAAGGCCATCTGGGAGGAGGGAGTTGATGTGTGCAATTACTAATCCCGCAAAGCACTTCATTATGATGGATGTCAGAGCAATCAAAGAGTACTCATTGAGGACAGAGAGGGTGACAGGGAGGGTGACAGGGAGGGTGACAGGGTGGGTGACAGGGAGGGTGACAGGGAGGATGACAGAGTGGATGACAGAGTGGATGACAGGGTGGGTGGCAGGGAGTGTGACAGGGAGGGTGACAGAGTGGGTGACAGACAGGGTGACAGGGTGGGTGACAGAGTGGGTGACAGGGAGGGTGACAGGGAGGGTGACAGAGGGGGTGACAGGGTGGGTGACAGAGTGGGTGACAGGGAGGGTGACAGAATGGGTGACAGAGTGGGTGACAGAGTGGGTGGCAGGGAGAATGACAGGAGGGGACAGATTGAAGGTTTGGTGATGGGGACTCAGATCCGTGTTTATCTGTGTAAATCTTGTCCGTTGTTTCTGTTGTAATGTTGTCTGTTGTCAGTATGAGTTGTGTGTGTGTGTTTTTTTTGCTGTAGGTTTGAATGGTGTTCTGAGATATGGAGGGCTGGTGGATGACAGCTTCTCTATTGACCCAGTGACTGGTATCATAACAACCAGTCGAGCCTTAGACAGAGAGCAACAGGATCACTACCAACTCACAGGTAAGTGACCAATAACTCAACAAGAGAGCTCCAAAGCACTTCCTCTCTCCTCTCCCCTCCCTATCTGACTCTGTCTCTCTCCTCCCTTCCTCTCTGTCTCTCTCCTTCCTCTCTTTCTTCTCTTTCTTGAATTTTTCTCTTTCCTTTCATTCTCTCTCTCTTCTTTTCTCTCTTCTCATTCTCTGTCTCCTGTTTTCGCTCTCTCTTCTCTCTCACTGTCTCCCTCTCTCTCCCCTTCTCTCTGTCTCTATCTTCTCTGGCTCCTCTCACACTCTGTCCTGTTCTCTCTCTCCTCTCACACTCTCTCTCATTCTCTCCCTATCTCATGCTTGATCTTGGGCTCCAGCTTGCTTTTCCTGCCTGTTCCTTGTATCCCTTCCTCGTTCCCTGAGGCCAAACCTCTGTCGATCCCAGCCTTAATGATGGAGACTGCCCAGATTTCTAGGGTGAAGAATTCCAGAGATTCACATTTCTCCATATCTCAGTCTCTTATATTGAGACTGTGCCCTGTGTTTTAGACTCCCAAGTCTGGGGAACAATCTCCTTGCAAATCCTTTTGGAATTTTCAATGTTTCACTGAAATTGCCTGTTATTTATCTAAACTCACAACTGCCTCCATCTCCCTTCATAAAACAAGCCTCTCATCTCAGGGAACAATCTTGTGAGCATTTGCTGCCTTTGTCTCGTTGTCTCACACTGTCCCCTTTCTTGTTCTCCCCTTTTCAACACTGTGCCTATCGTTGTCCCACGCAACTTCACACTCTCTCTCTCTCTCTATTTCTCTCTTACAGTCTCTCTCACCTCCTTTATCTCTCATTCTCTACCTAGTTGCTTCTGTGCACTAATAGACTGTTTCTTGTAGTTTATGCTAAAGATAGTGGGAGCCCTCCCAATGTTGCTACAGTGACAGTGTCCATCGAGATCAAAGACGAGAATGACAACAGGCCCAGGTTTGAGAAGGATGTGTACGAGCTGCAAGTTCCAGAAAACCAGGAGCCAGTCCCCCTCTTCACAGTGAAGGCAACAGATGAGGATTTGGGTGAAAATGGACGTGTGCGATATGAGATCATTGGTAAGATAGAAAGAGTGTTTGAGGTGGGAACAGTATGAAGGCTGGGTGTGCTTACAGTGTGTGTCATAACATCAGAAGCCAAAAAGACACAGAAGCAGGAATAGGCCATTCAAGCCCATCAGCTCTGAATTGAATTGAATCATTTATTGTCACGTGTATTCAATGTAAAAATACAGTGAAAAGTGTGTAACATCACTGTACATACATGGCACCATTCATATTAACTTAGACTAAGATAAGAAAACAAAAGATAATTTAAGAGCTTCCAACTTTCCACGGCCACAGTCCCACTCTGGGCTTTCCAACTCTCACCATTCCCAGACAGAATTCCGCTCTGGGTTGCCTCACCGTCCCCGATCTCACCGCCATTGCCTCACCGTCCCCGATCTCACTGCCACTGCCTCACCGGCCCCGATCTCACCGTCCCCGCCTCACCGTCCCCGATCTCACTGCCACTGCCTCACCGTCCCCGATCTCACCGGCCCACACTCAAACCACCACCATTCCTCCAGCCCACGCTCGATCCACCGTCACTACAGAACACAACCCATTCAGCTCCCACCATGTGGGACCCGGTTGTGAGCCAGCTCCTACCCAACTCCTTAGGTAGGCAGTTAAAGAGATGGGGGTGGGGAGTGAATTACTACAGGGAGAGAGAGAAGAAGGGAGAAAAATATGGAAGGACAAAGAAAGAGGAAAAGAACTCCACCATTCAATGGCTTATGTGATAATCCTCAACTCCTCTTTCTTGCCCTTTCCCCATAACCCCTGATTCCCTTACTGATTAAAAATCTCTCTATCTCAGCCTCAGGTATACTTAATGATCCAGCCTCAACAGCCTTGTGCAGTAAAGAATTCAACAGATTCACTACTCTCTGAGTGAAGAAATTCCTCCTTATCTTGGTCTTAAATGTGCAGCCCCTTACTCTGAGACAATGCCCTCTGATGCTAGACACTCCCACAAGGAGAAACAACTTCTCTGCATCTCCCATGGCAAGCCCCTGAAGAATCTTGTATGTTTCAATAAGGTCACCTCTTGTTCTTCGACATTCTGATCAGTACAGGCCTAATCTACTCAACCTCTTTCCATGGACAGTGTCTCCATACCTGGATCATCTGAGCCACCCTCCTCTGGCCTCTCTCCAATGCCATCTTATCTTTCCTTAGATAAGGAGCCCAAAACTAGGCTGTGGCCCTACTAGTGCCTTGTTTAGCTTAAACAAAACCTCCCTACTTTTATACACCATTCCCTTTGAAATAAAGCCCAACATTCCATTTGCTTTCCCTATTACCCAGTGAACTTTTTGTGATTCGTGCACAAGACTCCAAAGCCCTCTGTTCTGTAGCTTTCAGAAATCTTCCACAATTGAAATAATATTCAACTCCTCTATTGTTCCTGCCAAAATGCATAACATCACATTTCCTCATGTTACATTTCATATTGCCAAATTTTTACCCACCCATTTAATGTGCCTACATCCCTCTGCAGTTACCCTCACCACTGGCTTTCCCCCATTTTTGTGTCATCTGTAAACATGGCTGAAGTACAGTCACTTTCCCCATCCAAGTCGTTAATATATATTGTAAATAATGGTGGCCCCAGCACTGAGCCCTATGGTACTCCATAATGAAAATGATCCCCTTATTCCAACTCTCTGCTTTCTGTTAGCCAGGCAGTCCTCTATCCATGCTGATATACTACCCCCAACACCAGGGAAGCATATCTTATTACATAGCCTAATATATGGTACCTTATCAAACACCTGAAAATCCAAATATATGACACCCACTGCAACCCTGTTATCTTGTCATCTCCTCAAAGAATTCTAATAACTTTGTCAGGTATGATTTCCCCTTCATGAAACCATGACTCTGCATGATTATATAAGGCATTCTAAATGTTCTGCTATCACAGAGTTTAAAACAGACTCTAACATTTTCCCAATTGCACATGTTAAGCTAACCTGCCTACAGTTACCTGTTTATGCCCCTTTCCATTTTTAAACAAAGGTGTAACACAGTTCTGAGGAAGGGTCACTGGACCCGAATCATTAACTCTGATTTTTTCTCCACAGATGCTGCCAGACCTGCTGAGCTTTTCCAGCAACTTCTGTTTTTGTTCTTGTGTAACATTGGCAGTTTTCCAATCCCCTTGAACTTTTCCAGAATCTAAGGATTCCTAGGGAATTAGAACAAAGAATAAAGAAGAAAGAAAATTACAGCACAGGAACAGGCCCTTCGGCCCTCCAAGCCTGCACCGATCCAGATCCTCTATCTAAACTTGTCTCCTATTTTCCAAGGATCTGTATCCCTCTGCTCCCTGCCCATTCACGTACCTGTCTAGATATATCTTAAATTGACGCTATCGTGCCCGCATCTACCACCTCCGCTGGCAGCGCTTTCCAGGCACCCACCACCCTCTGCGTAAAGAACTTTCCACACATATCTCCCTTAAACTTTTCCCCTCTCACCTTGAAATTGTGACCCCTAGTAATTGAGACCCCCACTCTGGGAAAAAGCTTCATGCGATCCACCCTGTCTATACCCCTCATGATTTTGTAGACCTCAATCAGGTCCCCCCTCAACCTCCATCTTTCTGATGTAAATAATCCTAATCTACCCAACCTCTCTTCATAGCTAGCGCCCTCCATACCAGGCAACATCCTGGTGAACCTCCTCTTCACCCTCTCCAACGCATCCACATCCTTTTGGTAATGTGGCAACCAGAGCTGTACACAGTATTCCAAATGTGGTCGAACCAAAGTCGGATACAACTGTAACATGACCTGCTAACTCTTGTACTCAATACCCCGTCCGATGAATGAAAGCATGCTGTATGCCTTCTTGACCACTCTATCGACCTGCGTTACCACCTTCAGGGTACAATGGACCTGAACACCCAGATGTCTCTGTGCATCAATTTTCCCCAGGGCTTTTCCATTTACAGTATTAGTCCCAGTGCACTCACTATCTCTGTAACTACTGCCTTTAAAATCTGAGGATGCATCCCATCAAGTCCAGGCAGCTAAGCAGTCTTTCGTTCTATCGTTTCCTGAGCACTTTTTCTCCAATGATCGTTATTATACTTATTTCTTCTCTTCCTTTTGCCCCTGGATTATTTAGTAATTTTGTGTCTGTGAACATTGATGCAAAATGTTTGTTGAACTTCTCTGCCATTTCCTGCTTCTCCATTATTATTTCCGTAACTTATTTCTCTCAGGAGCCTATTTCACTTTGATCTCTGTCTTTGCTTTTTTACATATTTAAAGAAGCTTTTGCTGTCCTGCTTGATGTTACTTACAAGTTTACCCTCAAAGTTTATTTTTTCCCTCTTTATTATTTTTTGGTTGTCTTTTGTTGGTTTTTAAAATTTTTCCAATCATTTGGCTTACCATTAGTCACTGCCACATTCTATCTTTTTTCTTTGAATGTCTGCAGCAGGTGGTGGGGGAACCAACAAGAGGGACAAACATACTTCACCTCATCACCATTGTATGTAGGAGCATATGAACAGGAGTAGGCCATTCAGTCCATCAAGTTGTTCTATCATTCAATAGATCATGGCTGATTTGTGACCTAAATCCATTTCCCTGCCTTTGGCCCTCATCTCCCCACAGTTCTG